CATGTCACCGACAAAGATGTTAAAGTTGGATAGGGTTGGTGCGCAATCATTACATGATCGTATGTGCTCTTTTTTCTTCAGGTCTTATGCTTCATTCAGCATATAGAATGTTCAGTATTCACTGAAGGCAGTGTTAATTCTCTTTTTTTTTGTTTTTGTAATTTCTTTTGCTTTGTGGACTTTTGACTTATTTACCACAGTATGTTAATTCCAAACTCCGTGTAGAATCACTAATTCCCTCCTGAGTGCTTCTGTGGTACTTGTTATTGTGGTGTGTCAGTACTTTCAAGATGCTAAATAGTAGTCAGTAATTTGGCCTGGAAGATGTGCAGTTGCCTTCTTACATTTCCAGTAAATGCTTTAACTTTTTTGGTTTGTATTTGGATGTGAGACTGCCTCTCTAGTTGATCATCTGTTTTGCCCTCTGCCCAAATAACCTGAATCTGAAGAAGTTTTATTTTGAAGGAGAGAAAAAAGCAAGCCTTAAAATGTCTCATTTTGCACTGCACTGTTTTACAAAGCAAAAGTTGCTTAACCAAAGTATTCCTAATCAGCTTAAATTTGTTGCTTTTATTCCCTCTCACTGTCCTCTGCCTCCGAAAGTTCTCTGATCTTCTGGAAATAATAGGGGAAGGAATGTAAAGAGATCTACCTGTTTTTTTTATGTAAGAACTTAATGTACAAAGCACAATTACTGTTGAATCTTCTAAATGCTCAGTAGTTAGAGAAGGCTAGATAGAATATTCTTTAATAACTGAGGATGCTGTTACTAGTCGCCAACTGTAGGTCTGAATTACCTTCCCATGAACACTCAGGTCTTAAAACAGGTGGGAAATAATAATCTCATGTCTACAGGGCACTGTTAACTTCAGCTGTAAAGTTCATTCTTTCTTTCTAAAATCTTGTCTTTTCCTGCTTTTTCTTCCGCATCAAGTAAGTTTCAAATACAATGTTTAAAAATAGTTCTTAAAGAATTCTTTTTATAGTGGAAGTGACAATTCTTAGTCTGATTTGACCCTCTCTACAAGATGAGTTTACAGCATTTTACCTATTAATTCCTGTTTCAAATCTAGTGATTTTGGGGTTCATGCATTTATTTGAAACTAAAGAGTTGTGGTTAAACACTGTTCTGATCAAAAATGCTTTTGGGCAATTGTATTTAAAACTAGTACATCTTGTTTGTTTTTTCTAGCATTGCTCTTTTTTGGCTTAATTGCATCTAATAGAATTTGATGTGTGAAGAATTTCACTATTTTAAACTTAAAAGATCAGTATACTGGGTGAAAAAGCTGAAGTTGTGTACGATTTCTAGGTTTTTCTCAGAATTTCTCCATGGCTATTTCACTAAAAGCTGTCCTACACATGCAGTAATTCCAGTCAACACATTTTTAGTTAGATTCAGCTTTCAAACACCATATGCTTTCTTCTTACTCAACATTTAAGTAGTTAGCGTATTTTTAAAGACATGTTTCTATTTAGAAGCTGAAGAGACCCATCACAGGTAGTTTTATTGTTTCCGTTTTCTGAAGAAATACCATAGGTATGCATGTGTTATGATTTATGTCCACTGAGGATTGTGAAGATCTGTGGTCCTGTGGGGTTGTATTTCAGACTACGCCTTTCTGAAAAAGTCTGTGCAGCTGTTCTGTTATTACCATGGAAGAACAGTTGCAGAATTACTGTTTTTGTTACAGAAATTCTCCATTAGTTCTGTGTTCATACTTAATGATAGCCCCTTTGGACGCGTTACAACAACTTCTGACGAGTAATTTCATTGTCGTTGTTGCCTTCTCGGTTCTCCGCTCTTTGCTTTATGGATTCACCTAGAGAACTTGGCAACTTCGATGCTGCTACAGAGAGCTTCCAGAAGGCTTTGCTCCTAAATCAAAATCACGTTCAGACGTTACAGCTCAAAGGAATGATGCTTTATCATCATGGAAGCTTAGATGAAGCGCTAAAGAATTTTAAGGTAAGGAGGCCCTCAGTAAATACGAAAATTAAAATGTTTTAACAAGGGCTGGTATTCAGCAAGTGTAATAAAATGGACAGACATCAAAGTTTTTCATTTTTTTCATTCTGAATGTGCATTTGATTTTTTTTTTTGTCAAGTATGTCTTAAAATATGTATTAAACCTTACAGTTTTTAATTAAAAGTGGAATTTTGCTAAAACTAAGCCACTTCCTCCATTTTATGAATTGCTAACACCAAGCTCTGGTTGTTGGTTGGTTGTTCATTTTGTTTGTGGGTAGTATTTTTTGTTTCTTTGTTTTGTTTCTGGTTTTGAATTTTTTTTTTTAACTGGTAATTGTGGTTTTGCTGATATTTGAGTCTGGGTTGAAACCTAAAATTTTTTCTCACTTATGACAGAAGGAGGAATGTAGTCATGCTTTTAATTTTAAGTTTAAGCATACACAGTTCCAATATTTTATTTATTATTGAAGATACTCATTCTCTCTGTTGGTTTGTGGGTGCTTTGTTCCTTTAATCTCCTAGAGATGTCTACAGCTAGAACCGTACAATGAAGTATGCCAGTACATGAAAGGTCTCAGCCATGTTGCAATGGGACAGTTTTATGAAGGCATAAAAGCTCAGACTAAAGTTATGTTAAATGATCCACTACCGGGTCAGAAGGCCAGCCCTGAATATCTTAAAGTGAAATACCTCCGAGGTAAGTTGGAATGGTTTCTCTGTTTTTTTAGTTTTCTTAAATTCTTCAAAAACCCTAGAAGTTCAAGCATACTTGTATTTGTGGCCATTTTAAAGTAGCCATCATACATTCTAGTGAGCACTGTTGAGTATGTCTGCCTAAAAGAAATGTACCCTGATTCTTATTTGTTCACGCAGCTAAAAACTGGGACTACAAATGAAATAGACATTTCTGTATGATGGTAAAGACTGTTCTGATTCTTAGTTGAAACAGACTTATATCTGTCTTAGAAATTAGCAAATAGCAAAATTAAATTATCTGAGTAATGACTTATTAAATTCATGTTGCATAACTGACAAACATATAATCTGATTTTTTTGTAATTACATATGTAGGCTGATTATGCAAATGGTAATTAATTTTATTTCTTTCCTCCAGAGTATTCTAGGTACCTGCATGCACATTTGGACACCCCTCTTACAGAGTATAATATTGATACAGATCTTCCTGGAAATTTCAAGGATCACTGGGCCAAAAATCTTCATTTTCTTATAGAAAATTATGAAGAACAGCCAGGGTTACAGCCACATATAAAGTAAGTAATTATTTTTTAAGCCTACTCCAAATGTGTGGGTGTGTTTTTTTCTTTTTCTTTTTTTGGTGTGGGGTTTTTTTCAGTTTATCTTTTTAAGGTGCGATTCTGAGGCATTATAACAGCATACGTGTTTAATAATGTGTGAAAGTGAAATTCCACTGAGCGTGTAAATCCTTTTCAAAATCATAGGGGTTGGAGTTGGTTTAGCTCATAAGGGGAAGAAGAAACTTGGAATTATTTTCTTTGTTTTTGTCTTCACATAATAATACTCACATAATGTTGTATGATATCCACATTCTGTGGTCTTACTGATTAACTGCTCTATTTCTTTTTTCTTGCAATTAAATTTAAAGAGTTGATAAGTTTGAGATGTTCAGTGTAGTGTTATGTAGCACCCTTATTTGTGTTAAATTTTTATTTTGGTATAAGTGTAATTTCCTATATACTTAAATAAGATGCTTTTATAATGGCAGCTGGTTTCTCTGAGAAAAAAATCTTCTCTGCAGTAATTTAGATCACTAGTGTTTTAGGAGGGGAGAGCAGGGGATTTAATAGAATAGGCTTCAAAAATAAGTAGCTAAAGGAAAGATAGCAATTTTTTGTACTGTAAGCTAGTTTCTAGATAGATTTTAATGTGTTAATTTTATCTGTGTGAAAATCGTTGAGTTAAAAATCTATGGCTATAGTGTACTTGGAGTAGAATCCACCTTTACAGCACAAACAGCTTTTAGAGAATTATGGGAGAAGTTACGGAATATGGATTCCAGTTTCTACATATATTCTTTTCTTACTTACTGTTGAAGTTCCTCAGGGTGAGAGTAACATTGAAAGATAATGTATTATCTGTGAACTCTAGTATTGCTTACTATGAGCAAGTCTGAAGGTGAAATAGTGGTTGTGACAGCAATAAGCTCTGCCATTGAATTGAGTAGGACCAGGGTGGCATTTGGGATGTTGTGCGTAACTGTCATGTACTGTGTTATGTTCAGTGGGGTGGGAGAAGGTACGGGTGTTCTTTATACTGCTTTTAAGTATTTCTCACACAAATGGTATTGGTTATCAGGCAAACAAATCTGTGGTTTAGAACTTTCAGGACTTTTGTTTTCAAATTATGTCTGATGCATGTTTTTCTCCTCTGTAAGAGATGTGTTATTTCAGAATTTTGAAAGCTATAAGCCTGATGTACAAGAACTCATATGTGTAGCTGATCATCTGGGTTCCATGATGCAGTATGAGACACCAGGATTTCTTCCAAATAAAAGAATACATAGAGGTATACTAAAACTGCTCTATAAATTTGAGTGGGGAAAAATTGATGTGATAATTTAATGCTATACCTTTGCGATCTGCAAACTAGTTTTATGGTGTTCCTTTTAAGTCATGTAAAAAGTGTAAAATTAAAATCATCGTTATGTTAGCAGTTTCTTGACCTAACTGGGGACTAGGAGTCATAATCTCCCAGATTTTAATGATGTTGGCAATTCTTTCCCTGTAAATACCTCACTTTCTTGTTTCAATTTCCCTATCTGTACAAAAAAGAGTGTTTGGCTCTAATTGATTTTTTTTTCCTGTTTCTGTTGTTGTTATCCCTCTCTCCTCCTCCGCCACCCCCAGCCATGGGATTGGCCACTCTAGAAGTCATGCAAGCTGTGCAGCGGACTTGGGCAAACTCAAAAGTTCGGATGAACGGGAAAACCAGACTGATGCAGTGGCGAGATATGTTTGATATTGCTGTGAAGTGGCGAAGGTAATGGTAAAAGAAGAGAGAGAACACGTTGGTTGTAATAACTATGCGTGCTTCAGTTAACCAAAGGCTGAAGTCACAGGGGAGAAAATGAACACTTGCACTCTCTGTAACTATAGGGTGCTCTGATAAGAGAAGGGTGTTGAACTACAAGGAGTGCACTTCCAAAAATACTCTATTTTTCTTATTTTTTTAAGAGGGAGCGTTGGGAATAGCATTTTCTGGTTGAGGCAAAGCTGTGAGAGACCACAGGATACATTGCAACTTAGATTAACAAAAATCTACCAGTTTCAAACTCCAGCAACATAAAATGCTTGTGACTTGGGTTTTTTCCTTATGAAAATGGTACACGTGCATTTCAATAAGAAATTACTCTTGAGATCTCCAAATTCTGTCCTTTTGCATAAAATTATTCTGTGTGCGAGCAAAGCTCAAGTAAAAATGTTACATGGAATGAAATGTGTGCCAATATTAATGCCCTTTGTCTCTTGTAGGATAGCTGACCCTGACCAGCCCGTGCTTTGGTTGGACCAAATGCCTGCCCGAAGCCTTAGCAGAGGTTTCAATAATCACATTAACTTAATCAGGTACAAGCGTTTTAACGAAGCTTTCCCCCCACACGCTAAGGGGTTGTACCAAAACTTACCAGCGTTCATGAAACAGTGTATTACAGTACTGAATGCATACGTGCTTATTGTTTTGCTTAAATGTTTATTCTGTACTTTCTAATGGAACATTTGGGTTTTGTGCATCTCAAATTTTCCTTCGTGATATTTCCTCTTTTTCCTGGATTTCAATTGTGCAATTGAGTTATAGGAAGATCTGACTAGGATCCAGATGATCCCTGTTTTTACGTGCTGAAATTAATAAAATTTTTACAATTAAGGTAACATGGGAATTCAGTTTAGCAGTGTTGTAATTTTTGCAAATGCTGCTTCTCAAAGGTAGTGACAGCAGTAGTGAAACAATGCTGTTCTTTTAACTTTAATACCAATTTACAATAGAGTGAAAAAGCAGTTTTTAGTTGTTTTCGAAGGAGGCCATAGTAAAACAAAAATGGCAAAATAAGTCATCTATGAAAGGTAAGAGTTGCAGTTTCAAACAAAAGTGAAATTTAAGAGGTTCAACCACTGTTGTACGTTCCATCTTCTCCCATGCTGCAAGACTCAGTATTGTAGTCGTGACAGTGCTACCTCCCATAAAGTGGTAGAGGTGTGAGAGACTCAATGTGGCAACATCACTGTCAATCACAGGAGTGGAGTGTGTTTGTGTAAGTAAATATGTAGCCAGGTTTCATCTTATTGTCCCCCCACCCCAGGAAATACTGAATCTTTCATCTGCCATTCTCCTTTTATCTATTTCTTTGTGAGAAACTTCATGAAAAAAGAAGGATAAGGGAAGCAAAGCCTTCTCAAGAATTATTTCAGGCAGAGAAAAACAGTGATATTCTAATGTTCATGTACAGAGATTAATGAGAATTTGCTCACGCTCTTCATTCTGCTCTAGGCATGGACCCTAAAGCCTCCCCTTTACTTCTTCAGGGAGTGAGTACGATGGAGTGTTAAACTGCAGTGCAGATCAGTAGTTGCCTTGCAGGAGGTGGTGCTGCTTGAACAGTCTTAATGCTCAGAGTCTTGTCCTCCCTCAAGCCAAGTGTTACATTTGGGTTCCACACTCTCTCCATCATTGCTGTTGCTGCATTTCTCTCTTCTCACACGTACGATGCAGCAGAACCACAACCATCTGTACTTTGAGGCAAGGATGTACTCCATACCTCATCTCTTTCTTCCTGATTTTATTTTAAATGGGAGAGTAAAAGCTTAATTTCTAGGGGACCTGTGGTGGCAGGAGGCATTCATGTAACAACACTTGATTACCGTGCTGAAAATAACATCGAGCACTTAATCTGGGGAAATGTGTCCCTGTACAGGATCTCTGTGTCAGCAGCTCTGTTTTTACTGGCCAAAGTACTTGTTTTCCTCTCATCAGAGAATGCTAGCAGAACTCCTGATTTACTGTTCCAGCTGTTCTGGTGATTTCATAGAGATCTGAAATAACCTTACGAACATTCAGAATAGAATTAGATTCACTGTGGGCCTACTAACCTTTTGGGTTTGGCTCAACCTTGACATTTAAGGATCTCCTCAGCATTTTGATCATGCTTTTTTGGATTGCTAGGTAGTGGTTCTCTGAAAATCACTGATTCGACACTTTTGGAAGGAAAAATAGATTTGAAGCAGTCTAAATACCACTGGCGTAGGAGTTGATCATACTTTAGTACTGAATATTGATTGCATCCTTTTTGATTCTGGAAACCCGTACTTGTTTCATCATTCTGCATCCCGAGTAATAACTGCTGTTGATCAGCTTTCCATAGTGTTTTTTTCCTGCTTTTGGACTCCCTGCTGATGATTTCACGTGAGGTGAGGGAGAAAAGAAATGAATATATTTAGTAGTAATGGGTTTTTACATTTATTTTACTTCTGAAGCTTGTTCTAGTCCATTATGATTTCTAAATGACAATTTACTCCTAATGGATTATACAGATCTGCGTAATTTCCCTATTGCATTACTCAACTGTAAAATGGCTGCTGACAGGAGATATTAATAGGCTAGAGAGCCAACACCTTTTTGTTGCTAACTGAGATCATTTTATGGTCTTTCGATTGTTTTTCAGGAAGACATACATTGCTTCCTATTTGTAGGATTTAAAAATTATTCTCATAACTCTGACCAAGGCTGAATTCTTCCTAAAGCATGGCTACCTGAAAACCAGGTGCAACAGTAGATGATTTAGGCTGACAAATGGCAGCCTTCATAGTTATTAAGTAGACAAAGATATAAGTCAAATAAGAAGTGGAATAATAGCAGTTTGAGTGTTCTTTTAGTATTCATAACAGATCTAGGCATGCTGAGCTCAAGCTGACTCTGTTCTGCTTGGTCTAAATTCTACACCAGTAATTTCTGTGTGCAAAAATATTTGGATTAGACATCTGTTAACCTTCTTCTTCACTCGGAATTCCTTGCATTTGAAGTCCTTGTGATTCCTGTCAGTGACTCAGGTTCAGTGGAAAGATTTAGGTTTGTTTAGAGTTCAGTGATTCCTGTCAAATGAGTCTTGGCATGGAGGCACTAGCATTCAGTGACTGCTGAATTGATTCATTTCCAGAGTGGCAAAACATTTGGAGAGTGTCAGAAAACAAACACTACTTTTGTTTGGTTTGAGTCAATTTGAGGACCTTTTATTAAAGGCGTATAAGAAACATCTTGCACTTCACAATGTTTGATAGGCTTCCAGATCTTAATGTTCTCGAGACGCAAGTATATCGCTGTCACTACTTCTTCATGGGTCTGTAGAGAAGTGTGGCTTTGGTTTATCGCCTTTCTGCCTCAAATGATCAAAGCTACCAAGTTTCATTTAAAGTAGGGAAAACGTTTTAGAAAGCTTAAGTTATTTTCACAGGCAAAACAAGGATTTGGGACCATCTGAACATTAATGATATGCTTAATATTCTTATGAAAAGAATGAGGGCGCTCCTTGGAACACTGCTACTTTTGATTTCTTGATGGTGGTGTTTATTAAACAAGAAGAAATAGTGGGAATAAGCACAAATCACTTCTGACCACCCACCAAGTCTTTTCTTGGTACTGCTGCTTCTAGATAGCCTTACAGAGCGATAGGTCTGGTTTGGATGTATTTCCAAGATTCTGTTAAAGGAAAACCCAGTTTCTTATACTGACACGCTTCTGCCTGTTGTACTGATATTTTTTTAATACAGATGGAAAATGATGGGACGTACAACAAGGGCAAATTATGTATATAGATTTGCCTTCATCCTTCCACTTTCCCTAATGTGCAGTTACGTGTATGTGTTCTAATTCTGTTCAGTTTTTAAAGACTGACTCTGCCATTGTTCTGAGATGAGGCCTACTGAAGTGTGAGACTGTCAAGTGAGACATTAGGCAGGGACTTAAGCTGCCAGAAGTCACTTAGAGTGGGGAAAAAAACTAGGTGTAACACCTTCCTGTGATTGACAGTGGTTTTGCTTCCTCAGAGAGCGGTAACGTTTGCTTTATAAAATCTTGTTTTGTAGACTGGGAGAAGAGGAAGGACTCCTACAAATGCAATAATGGTATGTAATTTTTCCTCTAAGTGGATATAATCCTAGCAGGTTTCTAGAATTTTTTTTAATGTGTATTTTTTTCTTGGCAGTCCAAGAGAAAAAAACAATACCTTTTTGATGGTTTTGTTTAACAGTTACTATTTCTGTTTAATCAAAGCAAAATTACTTCAGTGTAGGGGGATGTAGGTGAACAAGAAAAATATGCAATTTGTCAGAGCAGATCAGCACATGTATTGACAAATATATAAACTGGAGAGTGTTGGTTCTCAGAGTAAATCAACATACAGATTGAGAATTCTCTCCTAGTTCTGCAGTATCAATGGGTGTAAATAGCTAAGAGATTATATCCTGTAGAAATCTATAATTATCATATAGATCAGATTTATTGGACATGGACACACTGAAAATGGGGAAATAGGCATGAAAAGTAGTGTATCAGAGAACACCACCACTAATGATACATAAGCTTTTGCAAGTTCCCTGTGGAATCTATATTCAAAATGGGGGATGGGCAATTCACCACTTCAGACAAACCTCCAGTTATTTCCTTTAATTTACAAAACATCTGTGGACAAAACTCTGTCAAATATTGATGAGTAATGTTTGTGTCTTAGGCCTGGAATGTTGGGTTGAAAAACAAGACTTTGAAAAACATTTTCTTTTCTTTGTAGGGGACAGGTCATTAACATGCGGTACCTGGAATATTTTGAGAAAATTCTTCATTTTATCAAAGATAGGATCCTTGTTTATCATGGGTAAATTATTGATAATGTTTTTTTCTCTGCTTCACTCCCTGGTAATACTGATTTGAAATCTACATAATATTAATTTCAGAAAGTCTAAGGGGTATTTTCTTAATTGTAGTAAGTTCTAGCTTTCTTAGTATCTATAATTGCTTTATTTCCTATTGGAAATGTAAAATCTTGTTCATTGCCACATTAAGAAACTTAAACTAATAGGAAAAACCACCTGTGAGTTACAGTATACTTAGAAACTAATAATGATGTTGAATTTGTACCCACAGTTTTAGTATGAGTGGGTCTCAATTTTTTCTAAAAATATGATTTATTAAAGATGTTGTGTCTTCTCCTGGTAGAGTAAGGTACAGTAGATCTGAATATTGAGATTAATTTATTAAACGGGAGTGAGGTAAAAAGAGAAAAGAAGATATGGAGGTAATTTTAACTGAGAATGGTGTTTGAGAAGTAGTTTTAAAGGAGCAGAGAATCTACTACCTGTTATAGGTGAGTTGGTAGAGTTTGTCTTGGAACGGAAGTCAGTGGTAGAATCTTGACAGAATGTGACTTGAGTTAATCTGAAAATTGATGTTGGCATCTATTTCAAACTTTGATAATTTTTTTTTAATAAGTAAAATGTCTTCCCCACCTGTGGCTCATTTGTGGCAACAGTATTGTGATAATGTGATGAGAAACTTCTTTAGCTTTCTACCCTTTAATTTTTCTTTGGCCTGGTAACTTTTGTTAAGCATTGGGTTCTGGTTTTTTAGTCTCATTGTGCAACCTAAATATCAAAAAATGAAGGTGCAGAAAATCCTTATAACAGTTGAAAACATTTAAGTGTTAGAAAATTTATGATAGTTGCTGAAGATACAGAAGTTGTGTAGTAACTGGGAAGTCTATCCTCTGCTGGGAGAAAGCTTGAGATTGAGCCAGCAGCATTTGAGCATAAAACAGAGCAATTTGTGCTGTGAGGTTTTTAAAATAATCCTGTTCTTAAAATCTGGGTGTATAGTAATGAATATTAAAACACTAGTTCAGTAGGTTTCTTCACCGTCCAGCTGTGCCTGCATCTGTAGTATTTACATACCTTTGAGGCTACACAGATGCATATGTTTTGAGAAGAGCATCTCTAACTCCATTCTTCCATCTTTCCTCACCAACAACCCCCTGCCCACACACATTCATGCAAACACTGTCTATTGCTTTAGAGTGGCCAACAGCAAATGAATATGATTAACCTGAAGTTTGAAGCTGAACAAGTAAGCTGAGCTGATAGAGGAGGAAATTACTTTTTGAAGAATAGGAGAGCATGTGGCCAAGTATGAAGGAACTAGTGTTCAGAGAAGAAATAACTTAATAACTTATTCCACTGTGGTTAATTAGGTTAGAGCTAGATGGATTTCCAGAAATGCTACATGTGTTCAACCATCACGATTTTATATTTAATTTTTTTTTCCAGTGCTAATAATCCAAAAGGACTGTTAGAGGTTCGAGAAGCTTTGGAAAAGGTCCATAAAGTAGAAGATCTTCTTCCCATAATGAAGGTAAATTAAATAAAAATTTCAAAATAAGATAAAAATAATGAAATATTCTGGGAGATATCCAGTTCCTCAGAATATAACCATTGTGCATAAGCGTAAATTGAAGCTGAAAACACTAACTCGGGTTATTTCAAATCTGCATGTGGGTATGACCTTGCCTTTGATACTTGCAGGCATGTGGTGTATATTTGAGAGGCTTGGCCTAACTGTGAATTGGTAAAGAAATGATGGAAACCAAATGTTGAATGTGATTCTTTGAAGTCAGCTTCATCAGCCGGGAGGGTCTGTGGTCAGATCTGCCAAAATGGGCTCCCAGTATGCCTGTACGATGTGAAGGAAAAAAATGAAGATGTGTGCCTGAAAGATTAGGAACATGGAAGCTTTTTCTACCTTAGGTTCCTTGGTGGGGGAGAAACAGGTGAATAGTTGCCCTTAGTGACCAATAGCTAATCTGAAATGAAACCCTGGTTTACATTCTTGTGGTTTGGAAGACTGTCAGAAAAGGGGTGGGGAAACCTGCAGGTTTCCCTCTTGCTGGCAGGGCCCTTCATAGAAAGGCTCTGGATATATGGCGTGCAGAATGATTTATAATTCTTTTCTCAGTGGAAGTAATAAGGGCTTGAGCTGGGTTTAAGTTTTTAAGTCTTTCCCCTCTCCCCCCATTCCCCCAGATTAGTATGAACAACATGTAAGTATTTGGGTTCGGGGAAACACTGTTACAAAGTATTTATTTTTAAAGGATTGGACAGGATTTTATTTAGAATTGAATAAAACTTTGGAAGAAACAGTCATTCTGAGTAGAGACAAACTCACTGCTTCCTTGTCAGATCTGTCCGCGCTGCGATTTCATACCTGAGCAAAGCTGATTGATTGCCACGCAGCAGAGCTCTCGAAGATACATTGCTGCTGTCGATAGGGTTTGGATTTGCTCGTGGTGCTAGTGCTCACTCACTTGTGTGCAACAGAGATCTTTACAGAGATATGTGGCTCAAGCACTGAATTTTTCTATGGCGTTTTTTTAACATGCATTACTAATACAAGTGTCTTCAAAGAACATACCATAATTTTGGATGTCCTTTCTATTTTACTGTCTTGCTCTTGGCCTTGAGAGGTGAAGCCAGGCACATGCGAAAACTGCTGAAGAGGAGGTAGATGTTGGGGTGGATGGACAATTAAGTGTTCCCTACTGACAAACAAATGGGCAAACAGGGCCCTGTTGAGCACCTAATATGGCTACTGTTGAATTGTATGCCACAAAAAACGCTATTAGTGGAGTTAAAAATGTAGGTTACTCCAGGAGGATGATGAAAATATGTAAACATAGTGGACTATACATGACTTATTTAAAAATAAATGTCTTAACTGGCAGCAAATACTCTTCCTGGCTTTCATAACCTGTACGTTTTTCTCTGGTTTGAATCTCCTGTATCCCATTTGGAATTGCATTGAAGTGGAATGCTGTTTCTCATCAGAGGCTTTGAGATTTGCCTCTTTAAAATAAATGCAGATTCTCTTTAAACAAAATATCTTTAATCACAAGTTCTATCTTAAAATAATTAGTTGCCTGAGTAATTATTTCAACGCAGTTGCATAATAGTCATTAATAGTGCCTGTATAAAATGAATGTCTGCTGATACTGATGTAGTGGGGTTATTTGGGTAGCAGGGGAATGGTGTATGTCAAAAGCTGGACTTTTGGCTTTACTTCCATACAGTTTTGCCTGATTTAGAAAATTCTTGGGATACAGTATTACACTTCAAAAACATAGCTTTGTGAAATTCTTAGTTCGTAATTGTTTTCCTTCTGATCATGATAAACATTAAGTGAAACTAGATCACAGTTAAGAAATTGTTGCTGTGAGTTGTATTCTGGAATCCACGCTCAGACTAGTTCAGCTACTTAGCGTATACATAAAACAGGCTCTCAAGTTCCTGCTTTTGCGTTGACATTGTTACACCAAAAGGTTACTATCAGCAGGCAACTTGGAGAAATCTGTACAACTCAAACTGCTTTCTACAGTTGCTTTTGGTAAACACTGCCGCTTTCTATTCCCTCTGTAGTTATGAAGTTGAGTGTCAGTATGCCTCTTTTAGTATTTATGATTTCAGGAGGAAAGGATGGATAACTCAAATAACATAGTTGACAGGAACTCTTTGTCGTGTTCTCTGTCTGTCCGTTTTCATTTCTGCTCTGTGTATTTTAGGCGTTTCAAAACGATAGCTTGGCAGTCTCTCTGTTCACTCTAATATTACTTCTTTTTATTTTTGAAAGCAGTTTAACAGTAAAACAAGAGACGGGTTTACTGTGAACACTAAAGTCCCCAGCCTCAAGGATCAAGGGAAAGAATATGATGGATTCACAATTACAATAACAGGAGATAAGTATGTTTGCCATTTTCATGGGTTTAGGTACATTAAGTAAAGATGAAGTATTATCAGTTAATTTTCAAATGCCATTTCTACTTGCATAAAGTGGATTTTGTGTTTCACTAGTGCCATTTTTATAAACAACTAAATTTGTTCATTTGAGGACTTCTGATTCCTGTTGTGTTCCCTAACAATATGGATATGGGGAACGTGGATAACATTGGTGGAGTAAGTCCAGTTGAGATGATTCTCTGACACATAGCACAAAAGTGAAGAGACACCTTGGTATTCGTCTTAGACTAGAAAATGCCTGAAAGGGGAAAAAAGTCTCAAAAATGTCATTCTTTATCCATATCAAAATATATTTCTTATTGTGAGACCTTTTCTGTTATGGTGACTGAAAAGTCTGGAATGGAATGGAAATTGCTGTGATCTGAGAATAGGAGAGACTCTCTTCTATTTGGATTTTTGGGCCTTTTTCATGTGGATTTTTGAGATGTTTGCAGACTTTCTATCTGCAGATACCAATTTCAATAGTACCTGAATGTATGAGGATGCAGTCAGGAGGCTTTAGGCCACTCTTTGGTTGAGAGAGTAAATTTATCACTTTAAGATCCTGCCTCCTTGTCTTCCTGAAGAATGAGCCTTAATCTGAAGCTCAGCAGCTCTGTCCTACTACTAACTAAAAACTTTGGTTTATGGGATTTAAAAATCTACATATTTGATTTTTTCCCAAAACTTCTGTTTCTAACGAGTGACATGGAAGCCAAACTTCTCTTCTAGAATGTTAACATATCTCTTGGTTTTTAATTTCACAGTCTAAATCATATGCCTATATAAAGTGAAATGGCATTGAACATGTGGCCTAACTGTTTTGAGGAAAATATTTTGGTGTCAGTAAAATGGTCTAACTTTGCTCTGCACGAACTTTGTTCTGTGTCAGTCAGTCTGTTTTGATCCAGAGTTTGTAACTATGCTTTTATACCACAACAATTTCATTGTGGTAGTTTAAAAGTTAACAAAACTACACTTTACATTCTATACAAGAATCTCAAGCCCATGAAGATATTCTAAAATTTCATATTTCTCACTTCTGCCTACACTTTAAGTGAAGCACTAGTGCTTGTCAGGTATGCTTCAATGGAAATATTTTATCTGTGGTTAAACAGCAATCTTTATGTATTCCTTCAGACAACCTTTCAATGTGACAAAACATTTCTAATTCAGTGGGGTTTTTTTTTTTTTTAAACTAAAAAGGGGGTAATGCAGATAATCTCCTGCTTAAGGAAAAATGATAGGAAAAAGGTTATGATGTAATATTGCAGTGTAGTACATTTGTAACTTACCCTGGATATTAGATTATGCACCAAGTTCTGTTCAAAAAATTTTCTTACCTCCTTTTTTGTTTCATTTACTTGATAGAGTGGGGAATATACTATTTTCAGTAGAAACTCAGACAACAGAAGAGAGAACACAGCTGTATCACGCAGAGATAGATGCGCTGTATAAGGACCTAACAGCTAAAGGGAAAATTCTAATTCTCTCTGCAGAGCTGGGGGTAAGGCTATTTGAATGGAAATGAATTCCTTGATAACATTATGTTATGTTTTTATACCTCCTGTTTAGCAGACATTGTTCTAATGATTTTTGACTGAGGTCTTAAGTAATAAAATTGACTGCTTGCTTAAACTCAGTTATGACAAATACCATAACAAGTTGTCTTAATTCTTTGTTTTACTTCAAAATTTGCTGTGTTTTGCTGCAGTAATAGAGTCCAGACCGGGTGTCAGTATCAGTGTGTTCTTTTGTTGTTGTTTTCTTTCCCCTCCTTATTTTTATTTTTCTTATGGATCTGTGTTCACCATTTCATCACCCTTATAAGCACTGCTTAGGGTTTGGCTTGTGCTGGCTGCATATAAGATGAGAAGTAACATGAATGAATGAGAAGAACTAGAATTGTTTGCGTTTGATTCATATTGCAATGAGAATCTGAATGCATTTCAGCTGTGCTTTCTGGTTTTCATCCTTTAACATAGTTTAGATGAAAATTTAGGTGAAACAGTTAAAGATAAACCAAAATAGAATCACAGAATGGTTTGGGTTGGAAGGGACCTTAAAGACCATCTAGTTCCAACCCCCCTGCCATGGGCAGGGACACCTTCCACTAGACCAGGTTGCTCAAAGCCTCATCCAGCCTGCCCTTGAAGATGACCAGGGATGGGTTGCTTAAACTTACCTTAATCAGACTTCAACTTGTCAGCTTGACATGTTTCACATTTGAAATGGTTCAAAATAATAACAGTACTGTATGACTTTCCAATGTGTCCCTTTTATGGTATTAACTGGCTATAAACTCTAATTCACTTTTTTTTTTCTCTTGTTTAGGAAGTAGATGCTGTTTGCAACTTGATCCTGTCATTAGTTTATTACTTTTATAATTTAATGCCACTTTCAAGAGGATCAAGGTCAGTGGTTGTCTTTATCATGTCTGTTTTCTTGGATGCACGCTGTAAAATGCCCATATGTTGCAGGATCTTAATATATTTTTTAATATTAAAAAAAGCTCCGGGTTGAGCTGCGTGTCCTGCAGAGTCTCTCATTTTGTGCTGCCATGACGATGGGTACTGACTCAGTACTGTTTTAAAAGCTAGTTTGTAATTGCTTATGGGAACTATTCATAGCTGCATGCATATTTAAACTGATAAGTAGTCTGTATTTATAGCCTTCAGATCACAGATTAAAAAGTGTCATTTTTAAATTGTAATGCTTTGGTTCCTAATCCATATTATGTTACACTACTGTACTTTCGCTCAAGAAGCTTTACTGCAACATGTTGGTACGATGAAATACACTTTGAGATAACATTTCAATGTGTTTTATTACAATAAGTTATTTTAGCAATTTATTGCAGCTGTTAGGGTCACCAAATGAAACCTTAGAATCAAGTCCCATATGTCACAGATCTCTTCAACTGAAATTCTAGTTTAATTCAAACCTGGCTATGTCTAAGACTGGTATGACTCTGTGCCACGGGGCACTTAAGGTCTTTAAGCTTATTATTAAACACAGTTCAGTGGAAAATTTAAAAAATCCTGAGGCTTCATTTTTACAATCAGACTTTACATTTATCTTACAGAATGTAAAACTTAACAGAAGTTCTGTCTGAGTTTCACAGTTTAAAAGAAAAAGCTTACAGTGCCCCTAGCTCCATTGCAGTAGAGTTCATAAACTCTTCTGGGCTACAGCTAAGCTTCTGGAGAACAGGAGTTTGCTTTGTTTTCAGTTCTATGGAGCCTGAAGTCTGAAGTTACGATTCTGACTACTGTGGAAACAGTGCTCTTCAGCAGGCTAAACTCTGTAGGATCATAACTTCATTCCTGTGGTGTCGGAAAGTAACAGAGATTTCACTTTTTCAAGTGTGGCATGCATGTGTTTACTTCTGAAATAATTAGTGCAGTAATTTTTACTAGCCTTCTGTGAAAGAGTATTTTGTTGAGTTTTGTAGTCTAAAATAGCATTATGGAGAGATTTCTACTCTGTTGGTTTTGTGTTTTTTTTTTTTTCTTAGTGTGATTGCTTATTCGGTGATCATGGGAGCACTAATGGCAAGCGGAAAAGAAGTATCAGGAAAAATCCCTAAAGGAAAGGCAAGTATCACAATACACTGATTCGGTCTTGATGGAGGAAGGAATACTTGTAAATGTGAGGAAGGAGCTGTAAGCAGGAACGGAAGTTGCACACTGATTTACTGGAGGTGGGCCAGCTCCGTACGATGGCGTCTCGCAGCCTGGCAGAGCGTTGAAATGTCATTGCTGTGCTGACGGTAGATGAGATTTAGAGACACTATGTGCCATAGTTCTGGTTAGCCAAATTGTAACAGTTTGTGTCCCACAGTAATCACATATTTGTAGCCGAAGCACTTCTGGTGTGCTGAGCTGCTCTTTCCAGCTTTCTTTGAGAAGGGCTCTGAGAGTACTTGGGCAGAATTAGTGACCTTTCTGGCAAACGGCAGGAAGTTTCTGTCTTTGTTCTCACTGTGTTCCAGAGCTTTTAGGCCTCGGTAAGTAGAAATGTATTTGCAACTTCTCTGTATTCTGCTTAATTTAAAGTAAGTCCTAGCTTTTAGGTGACTATGTTTGAATATTACACCGCCTTACTCAATAAAGGGTTAACTTTCTTTATTCAATGATTGGTCTGCTAGCTGTGTTACTTTTTCAGCATGAAAGGTGTGAGAGCACCTCTGTCTCTTTTAACATACTGTCAAAACAATCAGTGAAACTCCCGTGAGAATCAAAATTGTTGAACATACCCCGAGATAACCGAGGAAAGAGCAACTTTCCCTTTTGTTCTAAAAAGCTGTGGAAACAATGAAGGTTGTCTTTTTAGGACAATGAACTCCTAGTAGCTTTTAGGAGCAAACTGCACTTGCTGGGTAGCAAGACAGCTCTTTTCAGTATGCCATTAAGCTGGTATCTTCACCGTTCTGTGGGAGTTCAAGCTAAGGTAGACGACTTATGTGGGTTTTCTTATGCATCTTCTTAGGGCTTAATAGGGTAATGCATTTTGCGGATAGCTTTTATGCAGGCAAAGCAGAATTTCAGGATTACTAAAAAGCAGGGTTTCTGATGTACAGGAAGCTTTGGGGACACTTTTTCCAATTTCAGGAAAACCCTCAAATGTAAAAAAACATTTTTACAAAAGTTTTCACCAGCTGGAAGAAATTGTATTCCCCAGTTGAATGAAACTGGGATTTTTTTTTTTCTTTTTTGCCAGATTCCTTAGAAGGATATTTCTGGTCCCAGGCTTTTGACAGCATGCGTTGTCAGACTGCTCTGAAGACAAAGATGCCCAGTAGTCAAGAGCCCTGGTATTGCCTTCAGGTCAGGCAGTAGCCACGGCCAGTGTAGCTTCCAGAATTGGTTGTGGTTTGGTGTGCAAACCGATGGTGATTTTTAGTGCCTGGCATGCATGCTGACTTCCAAACTGGTGATGAGGGACAAAGTAGTCTGAGCATGGACTAATTAGTAGGCTTACACCTGTCGTACCAAGAATACAGGTAGAATGCTCTCAGAACCCTTCCTTGAATTCTACCACAGTTCATTGAACCAGCAGTGTGTCAGCTTAAGTGTTTCAGTACGAGTGAGCCAATGTCTTTGACTCAACGTTGTTTTGCTGAAAACTTACTTTTGGCTGTAGATACGAAGTTGCACAGAGTTCTGGGCTATAGGTAGTCAAACTTGTCTGAAAACCCACTGTGGGAAGAGGTAATACATAATGCCTGGAAAGTCCAATATAAATCTACCAATCGTGCTACAACGTCTTGCAGAATGTGTAGAAATGAGAAATATCCCCATTTTATTTGGACATTATAACAAAGGGCTGAGGACTGTCAATATTTTCTGGCACTGACTCATTAGTATAAACATCTTAAGAGATAAAATAAATGATGTTGTCACAAAAGGAAGGATATATTTTTAAGTCGAATGTATATCTTAAAAATAATTGAGGATTAACTTCGTGAAAGTAGAGAGGTTAAAATGTCTCTAACTTCTGAAGTGATTTTTTTTTTTTTTTTAAATTTTGTTGCATTTTTAGCTGGTTGATTTTGAAGCAATGACAGCACCGGGATCTGAAGCTTTTAGCAAAATAGCAAGGAGCTGGATGAATCTAAAAAGGTAAATTTTTTCTGTTCTGTTGTGGGGTGGGGAAATAAAATTTGAAAGACTTTTATGTGAAAAATTTAAATCTATACTATAAAATGTTACTTTAGAAATTATGAGTTTAGTAAGTGATTCAGTGTAATTTTTAATACTGGGAATTAATGAGATTTGAGTTTACAAGCACAGTAGTTCCTGTCCAGGCTACTAACTACTCTGTCAGAGTAGAAATAGAGTTATGTGAGTGTTACCCTCTGAGAAAGGTGTTCAGGTTGGTATTTTCTTCATTTTGTTCAGTAGTCAAATTTGCCTTTTTTTATTATTATTATTATTATTTTTTATCATTAGTAAATCTGGCAGTTGATGGAACAAAGCAAGGAAAAATTTTAGCTTTTGTTTTTCTATTCTTATGCATCTCCAAACCCTTTAGTGCTATTTTAATTTGGAGAATAAGTATTTTCAAAGTAGATGGAACTTTTGAATATACAGAATTACATTACTTAGTGTAGCATGACTTTGGTATAATGCTTTAATTTTTTTATGTTTGTATGGATTGATTTTTGAATGCTTAAACACGTTAATTCCTTGTCAGTAAGATGAATCTGGTGCATTTGGTTTGTTCCTTGGTGGTTATTCCCCATACAAAATCTAAAAATCGTGCCAGAGACAAAACCAGTTTGAGTATCCTTCACGTCAGGGTCAAGACACTTAAAGGGTGCTGCGAGGACTGACCCATGTCCTTATAAGGCCATCTATAATCTCTGAAAGGTTGTGCACATCAGGGGACGTTCTCTGTGGCTGCAGGAAAGGAAATCTTGCGTCCATCTTCCAGAAGGACAACCCAGGGAAACTATGGTCTGGTCAGCTTCACTCTGGTCCCTGGGAAGATGAGTCCTCTAGGAAAACATTTCAGGGTGTATGAAGCAAGAAGTGACGGGGGACAGTCAACAGGGGCTTACCATGGATTTACCAAATGCTGTGTGACCCAGTATGATTTCTTTCTGTGATAAAATGACTAGATTTGAGAAGAGAGCAATTCATGGTGTTTGGTTTTACTTCAGCAAGGACTCCCTCAGTACTCTCATACCAAGAGAGCACATACGGTCTGGACAAATGGACAGCTAGTTGGGTAAAAAGCTGTTTGGATAATCAGATTTCGGGGGTACTCAGTGGGCCACACCTAGAGTACGGTATTCAGCTTGGGGGGCAGCTGCAGTAGAGATTATGGTAAACTGGAGCAAATTCAGTGTGACCAAGATGGTCAGTGGGCTGGAGCACACACCTTCCTGGGAGTGCATCAGGCTTGTTCAGCCTGGAGAAGAGGAAGGCTGTGACACAGCAGCAGCTCTACAGTACCCTGAGCACTGCTTGGTGGGAGGACAAAAGGCAAGGTTAGGTTGAAATGAGTTTCAATCTGAGCATAATCTTTCTACCCTGGGGGCAGTCAAGCAGCAGAGCAGGCTGCCTGGGGAGGCTGTGCAGTCTCTGACCCTGGAGATCTTAAAGACCTGACAGGATGAAGCTCCAGAACCCTGCTCTGACTTCCAGTTGACCTTGCTTTGAGGGGGATGTTAGATCATAGAGCTCCAGAGGTCTGGTCCAACCTGAGTTATCCCGAGAGCCTGAGGAACTCTTCAGCTGCTGTTATTGCCAAATATATCATACTGGTTAGTGGTGTTTAACTTCATTAGCAGTGGTTCTCAGCCTGGCGAATTTCACTAGACTATAAAATCTCTTCCTAAATGAAGAAGGCTATTAAGAAGATTCAAGGACATCTTTGTCAGACTCAGGGTAAAAATCTACCTGTAGATGCAGTAAAATCCAGCATTTATTAAAGAGTGACGTTTTTAAACTACAGTGTAACAAGTTGCGGTTTTTATTAAAAGTAGTCTGCACAAATATTGTGACTTGGTTGTCTTGGTAATATAAAATATTTATGGTTCCCACTTTTTACTGTAATTCTCCCAATTTATATACTTGATTTCTGTTTTAATCCTCTGTTCATATCTCTTTAAGACATATCTCATGTCTCTTTTTTTTTTTTTTTTTTTAAGACACAGCTTTGCTCCCAAGAAAGACATTTCCCTTTGGTAGTGTCAGCTTCATAAGCCATTTTAACCTTACCGTTGCGTTTCTGACCCTCTCAGTTGTACTGTTGAAATCTCTGGGAATCCATAGCAAACCAGATCAGGGAACTGATTTGTGTTTAAAAACAACCTTGCCAAAACCAAAATTTATTTTTAACCAGGATGATTTTGTAGCATAGTCCCACTGATAGTATTGCTGGCTCAAATGAGAGATGTATAATGGGCAAGGAATGAGCCAGAGTGGAGCAAATGCTAAAGTTAGCTCTGCTTGATGCTGAGAAAAGTATCTGCAGAACCAGAGCCCAATGGACTTGAACTAATGATATGTAGGTAATTAACGAGTGGCTAATTTTTCTGTGGTAGAAGAATAATAGTGGGTAAGTAAGGCTCGAAGACTTAAAGCAACAAAATTTTACTTCTGCCACTTCCGAAGGCTTTTTTACGTAGTCATTATTTTCATTCTGTGTAGCAAGTGAGGAGTTATGGGAAGCAAGAGTTACTTGTGGGTAAGTTTTGTGGGTTTTTTGTTTTGTTTTGGTTGGTTGTTTTTTTTTTTCTTGACTTAAGGTCTCAAATTTGTTGGAGAACAGGATGAAGAAAAGTATAAGCTCATGTGTTAGCTCCAGGTAAATAATAAAAATCAGCAAAAGATAAACTTTCTTTTTTTTCTTTCTCTTTCAGTATTTCACCTTCTTACAAGAGCCTACCATCAGTAACACAGACTTTTCCAACCCTGAGAACAATGATTGAAGTACTAAATACAGACTCATCTCATTGTCTAAAAAAAACTATAGTTGTTGTATAATTTATACAAATAAAAGGCCAAGAGGTACTGCTTCATAAATTATTTTCAAGAGGAAATGATAGTCAAAATGGTTTTGTTTTTTAATGAACTGACTTGACTAGTTATCACTAGAATACGGTGAATCTTTCCATGACCAATAATATTAAAAAAGAAAAAAATAAATAGAACAACTGATTTCTTGCCTTGAGAAATGCTCTAACAGGAAATACAGTTGTTCAGGGACCACACTGAAGAGCAATAAGAAACCTCCATCACAGTTATGATCTGCACATACTGCAGGTAAAAATTTATTTAAAATAAAAAGAAAAGAGAGTGAGGAAAGTAATCAATGTTGGAAATACCACTGTATTACTTCCCATTTGTGTTTTTCCAAGCTTTTGTCTTTTGCATGGAAAACTTGGAGCAGTACATGTGTGGTAATTGGTAAATACACAGGCATTTCATGTAATGCAGTCCAGTGGAGGAACAGATGTCAGCTTAAAAGAATGGGTTTCAGGAAAACATCATTTGGAAAGAAAAACAAACAAACGACATACTTGGAGTTAAGCTCTTGGTGAGTCCGTGTCAAACAGCAGCTGTAGATCAGTCTCCCTTTCCGAGTTCCCACTGGTGGTGGTGGTTGGCAGGAGATACCAATGTGTTGACGGTGTATTGGGAGAGCTAGTTAGGGCTCCTTGAGTTGTTTTTGTGGGAAGGGCCTGGCAGCATTCTGGAAAAGCAGGCTTCCTGCAGGGCTAATTCAGTTCAAACAACATGGACAGTACCATGAACCAATTTCTGATTGCAGTAGTGATGATGATATTTCTGCAGAGTCCTGACTGAATTATATTCATTTTAACTTAAACTCTGTGACTTTAGAGCTCTTTATCAGGTTAAGTGATTTCAGAAACAGCAAGCAGTGATGGGGCAAATGTCTGGTTTCCTCTGTGATTTGATCAACATTTTTTTCCTGCCTGAGTATTCAGCATTTCATAAAATGGACAAAACTCTTCTGGTTTAGATACAGCTTTCAACTTATTTAGTATTGGTGGCCTGAACTGTGATTCTGTTGCTGTCATCATTTATGCAAATACGTTATTCTTTACTTTGTTTGCTTCCAATTTTCCAGAGGTTAGGGTTTTGCTGGGCAATTGCAAATACCTGTCCTGACCACGTAATATGAGATATGCTAACGAGTAAGTTGTTTACCAAGGGAGAGGGGAGAGCACCCTGCATACCCCAAGCGTACCAATAGCACCGGTGTGGTTGCTTTTCCATGGCTAAGGCACAGGGCAATCTCAATCCCCTCTAATGAAGAAAGAAATGGAGCAGAGCATCGAGGATGTTGATGTAGGTGACCCACTTTAATAGTGGGACTGAAAACAGAGTGGATTTATTGAATGGAGGGTCTTTTCTTGCTTATTTCACACAAGTATTTATTAGATTCAAAGTGGTCTCTGTGTGTATTTTTAAGGTGGCAAGAAGTGCCACAAGCTAAGTTAGAATCTGCTGTGAATACTGACATCCGTTAAATCAACAGGGCTTCTCTTATAAAGTTAGATTTCACTGTTCATTACCCTGATCGCTGGCAGAGTGGGACAGCTATGAGTAGCCAGAGACCTGAGTGTTCATCTGTGAAAGATTTTCACAGAGATGGCAAACGAATCCCAGAAAGTGGATGCATGCTATGTCTGCGTTAGCAGGCAGCGCATCCCACCCGGTACGAGTAGCTCACTTCCCACAGTCTATGCGTTTCAGAGGTCTCACTTTTGTCTGCTTGTCTAGTTCATGAACTGGCAGCCTGTTGCATTCGCAGTGCAGGTTAGCAATGCCTCTTCCAGTTCAGATGTCTTTGGGATGAAATGATGTGTATTCTGAAACCTCTCTGCACTGTTAACTAGAATGTGGCAAGGGGAGGAAACAAGGAGGCTTGCTTCAGAAGTGTGTTCCCGATTCAGATTAAACCAGTGCTGCACATATGCCCCTGGAAACCTTTTTTCATCAACTCATATTCTAAGATTATATATTGAAAACAAAAGGGT